GAGAAAACTCTATATTGAGAGCTCCATGCATTTATAATAATGTTCGGCTATGACATTATCTGTCTTATCTTGGCATCCTGTTTAAATTTCTGAAGATAAGCTATCCTTTTCCTGATCCATACATATACATTAAAAAAAAAACTCAAAAATCTTGAGTCAAAATTCTAGCCTCAGTCCAACTGCAACTGAAGTAACAGAGAGAATGCCTTTGAAGTAAATAACATTTGGTTCTTTGATTTTAACCTCAATCTGAATTGATTTATTAACTGTAAGTAATGATCAAATCCTAGATGCCAAATATCCATTCTTCTCCTCTACCCTTCTTGTTATATTTTGTCAGTGCCTTTGTGATGAAGAACTCCAAATGTGTTTATCAACACTTACAGAACAAAATTTGGCACTATTAGGAAACCCCTTCTGTTGGAAATTCTTTTTTTAATCTCAGTGAAAATACCATTTCTGAACATGATTCATCAGACAGCAGAGTTGTTCAGGGTACATACACGTACAGAATATATCATGCAGCCTAGATATGCATTACTTATTGGTATAATATGGTTGCTGTTTGTTAGAGTAATTAAAAACCTCACAGATATTTTTAATCCTTATCATTTTGTTGTATTCAACTCATCTCTTCTCAAATTCCTCAAAAGTAGATTTTACAGGACAGAGATCATCTTCTAGTGTGGCTACAGCATCTGGAACAGTGAGAGTCAACTACTTGAGCAGAATTTCTGACTATGGCCCCCAAGAGAAATAATCATTCTTTTCACCCATAAAATCCTCCAATAATGGTATACTAGCATATTTTTATAATTTATCACATGAACACACATTTCTTTTTCTTCCCCAAATCTCAAATGAACCACTGTTACTACTAACACCTTTAAAGACATTCTAGCTCAGAAGTAATCATGCACCTGAAGCACTGTCTTTAAAATACTTGAAATGCAATTTGGAGATGACGTTTGTTCATCCAATTTCCGCTTCCACAGAATAGGAATTTAGCAAAGCTGTAGTTGGTGTTATAAGGGCCATGGTTGAACTGAACAGGAAACAAATCCTGCCCAATAAAGAACATTATCCAGAAATAGACAGCAGCCTGTGACATGTATATAATTAGAGAAATTGGAGGTTTTGCCCATGAGACCATGTGTTCCACAGCAAATCCTATTTCCTTCATTCTCCCCTTTCATGGTTATTGTAAGTGAAATCATTCCATGATTATAGTCCTTAAATATAATATACCAGTTTCTTTTTGTTTTTCACCAATATTGGTGTTAATTGAATTCATTGAACAAACGACAAAAAAATCCACAGCTCAGATCTTATCAGACAAACTGACTTGCAAGTCAGAAAGCATATAAGGAGACCAATTGACCAAATTTTACATCTGACAGGTATCTTACATGATGGCTCTTTTTTCCCATAAATATAAGCCATTAGCTATTTCTTTTGATCTTTTCCTTGCTAAAAACGTATAAAATAAATCTGATGACATAAAATGTCTGATGTAGAAATCCAAATCATAAGGAGGAAGAAGCTAATTTACCAACTTCCAAGTTAAAAAAAAAAAAAAAAAGTCAACTGGTCCTATTGTAACATAGGAAAGTGAACATAAAAAAAAAAATAGTTTATCATAAAATTCTAAAAATAATTCTGAGAAGATTAGGGCTCTCATTGCTATGCTACAGAACTTAGCTCTATTACCTGCCCTTGTTACTGAAGCACAACAGTAACCTAAGACATACATAACAGAAGGAAGGAAGCAATCATTCTGAAAAAGACTTATGTATGATAGCAAACAACAAATTAGGCATGAGTTTCCATAGTGATACAGCAACAAAAGGCTGCTGCAATTTTCAGCTGTCTATACTAAGTAACAGAGCAAAGGGACTAGAGTCCCTTCCCTGTAAACTGGGATGTTAGTGCACTCAGAATTGTCCATTAAATTTGTTCCACACTATAAAGAAAATATTGAAGGAATTGTAAGAGGAATAATAATAAAAACAAAACAAAACAAAACAAACAAACAAAAAAAAAAAAACAAAAACAACAACAACAAAAAAAAAAAAAAAAACAAGAAAAAAAAAAAAAAAAAACAAGAAACTCTGCAAGAAGCAAAACTACAGAGTGCTATGGATCTGGATTTCATGGTTGGATTATCTGGTATCTTAGAAATGCAAATCCCAAGGAGTACTTTCTCCTATGCATCTCCCCTGTGGATTTTCTGATGTTTAATAAGAAATTATCGCATACTATAGCCTTTCTGCCAGTGGGAACACAGATGAGTCTCTAGCTCACCTGGCAGCCTACTTTCCCAACACTTACAGGAATTCCTGTCCACTGGTGTTGAAACTGGCCAACAGTTAAGAAGCTACTGAGGGAGAAAGGAGAGGAGAAAGATCAGCAGACACACAAAAATCTAGTCTAGCAAGTAGATAGTGTGATCATATAAGCTTTGGTTTCCCTGGGAAGCTAGGCTAATTATCAAAGGGCTAGAAAGATTCACTTATGATGAAAGTCCAAAGACCCCGAAGAGGAAAAATACTTAAACACTGAAAGGTAAAGTACTCTATTGGATATAGGGCTGAAAGAACCAAACATGATAGCTAGGTTGAGACACAAATGATGAGGAATGTTATAATTTACAGAAATATAAATGTTAGCCAAGGATGATGAGGATTTATTTGTATCAAGAGGAACTATTACTAAACAGAATTGCAGCTGGGAATAGTGGGATTAAATAAAGGAAAGCTTTAGGCTAAAAATCAAGCAACACCGTAAGTGAGATGACTCTATAGAACAGTTTTGAGACATAAGAAGTTGAAGCTCCATGGCTTAAAAAAATTAAAACTGGAATGTAAAAAGCCTGTTCTCTACACAACAATAATGCATGGATGGTGCGACTGGCAGGAAAGTCTAATAGGTCTTTCTTTTCATTTACCACTAGCTTGATAACACAAAATACTGCACTAAACATATTGTAAAAATTGCACTACAATCTAGTATCTGATCCTAAATCAGAAATACATACAGTACAATAATGTGTTCCTAGTATTTGTATGGCTGTTGTTTTTACACTGTGTCTTTTTTTGTCCATTTTTTTATCTATTTGTACACTCTTGGGTGTTTGTGACTGGTCTGATACAACAGCAAAAAAACAGAATGGATGATTTCTAATTCAGATAATGGAAGGACGTTTCTTGTCCTCTCATGATACATTTGAAATAAATTTCTTTGTGAGTAAAGGCTTTAGTGTGAAATGTCAAGCAAAATTGGAGATATTCTTATATTGAGAAGAAAATCTTCAACATATATTAAAATCTAAGTAAATAAAGTTGTTTAAGAATTTGAAGTCGAAGGAAGAGGAACAACAATAAGGTAATGTAATATATACAATATATAAAACTAATAAAAGTAGTTACTCCTTTTGAGTTCACATCTAAATGGCCGAAACCAGACCTAGTATATATAAATGCATAGATCTGCCTTGCTCCCACATCACTTATATTATACATCAAAAATAAATATAATATTATACAGGTAATTATTTATATAAAGTTATTAAAATATCTACTTTTACACATAAAGTGATCAAAGTTACTTGTGTCTTAGTGCAATATTTCTAAGCAATACTGAATGGTATAGGTTTCCTTGTTATTATTTCCTAGTAAAACATAAAAGAAAATAATCAAAATGCACAAACGAGATTACACAGTATGTTTGATGTAGCAATTTCTAACATTCATTTAATATAGCTGAGCTGCAATGACTAATACTGCCCATGCCCGCTAGTACAAAGACCTAAAAAAGGTTCCAGACTAGATTACGTTCATGCAGGTCTCATTTTAACGGAAATTGGAGAGATGAAAAAAGATTATAGGAACACACATTATAAAAACAGACCTCACAAGTCAAACTTAGTAGTGAAACCATTCTCCTTCATGTAGACAACCATGAAAACAAATATCCTGTAAGCACTAGATATATATTGTATCTTTCTACCAGATCTCTTTGCCTCCTTCAGACAGATTCTCATTCATCTCATAACTATATAATTTGATCATAGTTGAGTAAGGCACAGCAGGGGAAAGGGTCTGTCTGATAAAGTATCGGACTCCAGGAAGACAGATAAACAATTTCATGATTTCTAGTTGTAACAGGAATGGTACACTAGTGGATATTAAGATATTAGTCTCATAGGAGTACAAATATTGAGCTTCTGCATTTTTTTCTCTTACTAAATATGGGGGGGTTTCCATTAAGTGAAAATGACAGTCTGATTATGGTAAACTAAGACAGAACACCAGAATAGAATGCAAGGTACGTGTTAAAAGTGGAATTAAAACTTTTTTGTTTTATCAATGTGAAAGTTAGTACATAACTTTTTCTTTTGTTTTTTGGGGTTTTTTTTCTGGCTTAGTTTAAGGCAAGTGGAAAGTTTCTTTCTCATGCGGCATTTTACTGCAAAGAAACATTATTTCAAAGTAGGTGAAACAGTTGCCTATCAAGTTGTTTCACATTTAAACTTCCTCTTTCACAAGGGGCACATTGGCAGGCAACTCATCTACTACAAGTCACTAGAGTAATGCCTGTTTACAACACAGCATCATTGTTCTACATGTATTAAATGAAGGCTTGAGTAATAATATTTAAACAGCTATAATGGACTTCTCTTTTATATATTAACAGATATATTTGATTTGTATATATGAACAAATACATAGCAGCAATTACTATTATAACTCCTGTTAGATGGCAAATGTTACACTGTCTTTGTAACAACTTCCTGTCTTGGATAGCTGAAAAACATGGTGATATGCAGTCATGCTGATACCTGCTTTTACTTATAAAAATTCAGAGAAATTCAAATTCTAATATGTTCTGTAGCAAATTTTTAGTTACAAAACCTGGATGTCATCTTTTTTGTTTAAAAAATATATTCTGGAGTAAGAAAATTTTAAAGCTATCACACTATCTAATTTAGCATCATTTACCTGTGACTCTTTTACATTTTCAACAGTGAAGTTGAACCAAACTCGGAAGCGTGGGTTACAGGTATCTGGTCTAATGAAGAGGTCATACTCAAACTCCGTGATGTGGTCCACACGTCCAAGGTTACCTACCACGAACATATGAAAAAGAATGCATTTTAATGAATGGCTGATAAACTCCAGGAACTACACTGAGAAAAGTTTTAAAAACAACTACCTCTGTTGGTTAAAATATGTAAGTGTAATAAGCCTTACAACAGTTCAGAATTATTTTTAAAAGACTTAACCATAGTCACAATATAAAATAGATACCAGTAAGGTACATGCATATGAATACACCAAAAAGAAGATAACATGGATTTTTATTATCCAATCAAATTTACTTTTTGTTTTCTCTTATCTGAGTATTCCAGTTAAGTGTCCTAACATCCTTTTAATTGTTTGCTTTTTTTTTTTTTTTTTTTTGACACTTTTCTGATCATGTCTCTGCACGTCTTTTAGTCCCCACCTGTATGGATTTCTTTCTTTCCATTTGCTGCTCATGTTCAAGCATCCCTAAGATCAAAAAGTCCCCGGATTTCCACCTGGTCCCTCTGGCTGGTGCTCTGAGCATCCCCCTCTCCCCACAGACAGGCCAGCCTTCATCTCCTCTGTTAGCTATTTTAATACTTTCCCTTTACCATTTGCAGCCACTAACACCTCCTTTCAAAGACACAAGTGAGGCTTTAAGATTTAACCTCAGCTATTTCCTGCTGAATTTCATGGAATAATATTTTGAAGTATAGTCAGAGCTACATTGTCCCCTATGGCATTATTCAGCAAGCAACCACACCAGCTATAGGAATTAAGTTCAGCACTGGGAAAACTTGCTAAGTGCTTTTAAATTGCTAAATTGCCATTTTTCCTTTGAAGTTTGCCAAGATTTCTAAAGACAGGGTTTAGACTGTCCATTTCATTTATACGCTACAAAAATAAGACTTTACATTTTCCTGATCCAATCCTAAACCTACCTCATCAGATCTTGTAAGGTAAGGCCATGCTTTAGCTCAAATGCAAAATTATACTTATTAAAAAAAAATAGCACTGTAAGATGACCTGGGTTTAGGGTTTCAGATACATTTTTGAGTTGATATATATATTTTTGGGGTAGGATATATACTGTTGGGTTTAAATAGTTATTTATAATGCTATTTGAGCTAAACAATTCCCTCCTCAGCAAATCCCATTTCAGTCAGTGTGACTGTTCATTGGTGACACGCTACTTAGTATGAGCACAAGTAGCAAAATTTGGCTGATCTGCTGTTCTGGGGTGGAAAAGCAGCAAGAGAAAAAAAACATTTTCAACTCTGTTCATCAATGTATTTGCAGGGTTTCTTCCTTATCCTAAGTCGTTTCTGGCTTTACTAACTGAACATTTTTAATCTTCCCTATTTTTAATGTTATCTTCTACTTTCCTACCCACATTCTTCTCAGAAGAAAATTCTCTTCACTGACTCCCTCTGCAGAAAACCGCTTCATGCTAACAATCTGTTCCTAAATACTTGCCTGAAGGATACATTTGGCATATGAAATATTTGGGAAAAAAAAAAAAAAAAAACAAAACAAAACAAAAAAAAAAAACCTCAACACCACAAAACAGCAATATTGTACAGCTAGAATACCTTAGCCAAATATAAATAGTGTCATCTGCTGCATCGGGTGTCCGTGCCCAGGCGCCGGCAGTGGGGGCCGCAGGGCTGGGGGCTCTGAGGAGAGGCCGGGCTGCCCCGTGCTGGTCATGGCCGGTTCCAAACGGTTCTGCACTGGCCCCACCGCAGGGCACAGGCCGGCCCCTCAGCAAAGGCCGTGGCTCCTCAGAGAAAATTGGTTTAAGGAAGGACAAAAGTGCCACACAGGCTGTGAGGCGTGAGGGAGTCTGAGGTGAACCAGGGTTCGAGGAGGAGGAGGAGGGAAGGGGTGCTCTGGGTGGCAGAGACTCCCCTGTGTCCTGCGGGGAGAGGCTGGAGCAGGTGGATGCTTCCTGAAGGACAGGTGGCCCGTCGAGGACCCACGCTGGAGCAGGCTGTCGTGACAGGAACCACGGCCTGTGGGAAGGGCCCAGGCTGGAGCAGGGGACCAATGTGCAGAGGGAGGAGTGGCAGAGAGGAGCTGCTATGGACTGACCACAGCCCCACGACCCGCCATGCCGCTCGGTGGGGGAGGACTGCAGCTGATCCTCAGAAACAGGGAAGGGTGGGGGGAAACTGTTGGTTCAATTTCTCTTTCTTTCTTACTAGCCAAACTTATTGTAACTGGCAATAAATTATTTTTCTCCTGCTGAAGACTGCTTTGACTGTGATGGCAACTGGTGAGTGATCTTCCTATCCTCATCTCAACCCATGAGCTTTTTCATCTTATTTTCTCCCCTCGTCCTGTTGAGGAGGGCGAGTGAGAGAGCAGCTGGGTAGGCAATTAGCAGCTGGCCAAGGTCAGCCCACCACATCTGCCTGACTTTAGGTTAAATACCTTACTCATCTAAGTGCACTTTCTGCCACAGGAGTCAAATCTATCACTGCTATTCACAACAGAACTTGAATCTTAATGTAAACTATTATTTCCTACAGATTATTATCCAAAGTAGTAAGAGTGGTAAAATTAAGCTATTGCATCATAATACCTTTAATTAAAGGACCTTGGTTTACTGGTTTTTTCATTAAATGTCATGAACATATGACATTGTTGAGAAAATAATACTTCTCATGTATTTCAGAATTTAGGTGGTCCAAGCTGTTCAGCTGCATAGGTTGGATTCCAGCTGCCTCACAGGTCACAGTGGAAGCTCTCCCTAGACAAATCTTAATGCATGGGTGTCCAGAGCCACCTCAACCTGAGTTGTGCACGTAATGCTGGGGGATCCTCAAACACTAAGGCAGCAGACTGGATGAACACAAACTGTAGACTAGGTCCATCTTATAAACTACTAGGTATACATGCCTCTCAGTGATGCCAGCAATTCCAGATATGGATTAAGTTATCTGCAGCAAAGACCAGCAGTACAAATTTAGGTTCAATTACTTCCAAAGGACACAGAAGCAATTAAATTTATATTTTAAGATCAAAGATCATTGAAAAGTTGTACTGCAAGGCATAGGAAACTAAAAGATAAAATGAGTAACTAAGAACAAAATGAGACTTTGGTTTCTGACATGTTGCACATTTCAGCTTCTTTTTCAACATCAGACTAATCTGAATTGTATGGGAGACACATGCTCCACTCAGAACTACTTTACGGAGTCCATAGGATCCCTAAACACTGGAGAATTGCACCAATGTCAGTGAAATCACTGATGGTGAAGAGCTGGTATGCTGGAACCACTCCAAGCCAGTCTGCTCTGGAAAACCTAGATACCCATCTCAAATGCAGCAGAACCTTTAACAATTTAATCATTGCATGCACGATTCTCTGAGACTTCCAACACAGTTTTCTCTCTTTATCTGTAATACCTGATTTGAATACTCACCTCCCTCTCAATGCAGTATTTCTTCCTTTTGTGAATTGTATCTCACTTTAATCATTTTTGCCTACAGAACTGTCTCTTACTAGGCTCCTTCATAGTACACGTCAGCTGCCATAGTCACCTGCAGCCATTTGCAGTTTAGTATCATTTGTACATTTCATTAGCACACTATTTCTTCTCTGTCTTCCAGATGCTAAATAGGCTGGACCAAACACTAATGCCTTCGGTAACCAATTCAACAAGTTCCTCATGCTCAATAGACTATTGTCTGCAATATCACAGCCTTTGCTCACAATCTGTCAGCCTAATTTCAACCCACATAGAAATGTCATTAAACAAGATGGCAGTTTTGGTACAAAGAAGCCTAGAACTGTAAGTACAAAACACTTCCTCGTTTTAAGAAATGCTTTGTAGAAAACTGAAAAACATTTTTTGGTGTCCAAGAAAGGATATAAACTTCCCAACATTAATCTCATAAACAAAGTTAACAATTTTACATACTGCCTTCACACTGCTGTAATCTTGGGAAATAGATTTATTCTAATGGGTAAGAATTATATTCCAAGACCACAGGTAACATAGTGAAGTGCATTAGAAACTATGAAACAGAAATTAAAACATTGATTATACTATTCCACTTAGACATTATACCATTCTAATATTTTAACACTGAAACGAAACACTTTATTCTTAAGTGCAACAACTTCTAAAGTGCTTTAATTTATTAATAGCTCTATAAAGTTCCTTAAAATTTGTCTTTTCTTTTTCTGTTAAATGTATAGGAAGAGAGAAATGGTTAATGAATGGTCAGACAGCAAGGTTCTCCTGTGTCACACGAAACTGTGCAGTTACGCAATACATCCACTCTGCTTTGCAATACCTGAGGTGGACAGTTTCTATGCTGAAATTATGATAAATTTAAGAGAAATCCAGACAGCACCAATTTTTTGTAATATACCTACTAATAGTTTTCAGTCTCAATACAACTACTGTGAGACCCTTCCAGTGCAGTTTTCATTCTGTGCACATTGCTAGTCTGGTAATCTGTGATATCAGTAAGAGAGTCTGTTCATAACCATATTGGTTAAGTATGTTCTTTCAAAATCAAAGAAAAAAATCTCACACAACTAAAACATCAGCTTTGCTTTACTTTACATTGGATTCATGCCCGCATGAAATCATCACCACTCAATTCAACAAATACAGAAGTTGTATCTATAAAATTGTACAATTTTTAAAGCGTCATCACTCCATAATATGTGATTTGCATTATATTTGGGGGTTAACGTTATAAAACATAAGATACTAAAAAACCTATTTAAGGTACATGCGAAATTAATGAACTGATCAAGTAATGTGATCTGCAAGGGGGAAAAAAGCCCAACATTATGAGCAGTAAGATCTGAAGTTATTGGCATTCTAAGACATTTCCTGTTTAATTTTTTTTTTTACAGTTTTGGTGCATGTCTGGTTGTCAAATGGCTTTCTGAGTATATCTTAAAAGTAAAATAAACAATTTATTAGAGTAGCCAGCACTTTACAAAACATTATGGATTTTTTCTTCTATGCACTTATGCACTCTGAAATTAGTTGCTGGTCTTTTTTTCTATTATTATTTTACTTTACAGAAA